GTGCAGTTACTTTCAAAGTTTAAAGCCTTTTCCCCATTCTTCTCCTCTCACACACACTCTCTCTCTCTCTCTCTCTCTCTCTCTCTCTCTCTCTCTCTCTCTCACACACACACACACACACACACACACACACACACACACACAGGTAAACATTTGTGTTTCACATTATTGAAGTTCAAACCATTCTTGGTAGGATAGCTTTTGAAAAAAAGAAAAGAAAAAATGTGTTCACGAACAATCCTCACTCTTCAAATGTCATCTATTTCAAGAATGATCTTTAAATTTAATCTTGAGGCTTGGGCAAGCCATCATCTAAGCAAGGAAACTGGACAATCGACCAACTAACAAATCTAAAGACTGTAGACAAGAGAAAGTATAAAAGCCAAAACAACTGAACCAAGGCAGAATTTCAGTGGTACTATTTTGCTCCCAAACACTACAGGACTGGTTCAACAGCTTGTCCTGCTGGCTCCTACGACAGCATCAGAGAATGTTCATCCTTAGACCGTATGCCAAAATATTCAAAGGTTCTTGGACAATCCTTTCTAAGGGAGGAAATGGCATGAGATGCAGCTACAATGGTCGTTTAAAGCTTATGTTTGAAGTTAAAAGCCTCTTCCTACAACTGTAAAATCTGTGCACATTTTCTTTCACAAATGAAGTTGCGGCTGCTGCAAATTTTCATCTGCACATTACACACAGGGAAGTCTGGTTTTTCCCTCTATTGTACTTGTTTTCTAGGTGTTACCACATGAAAATTACTTTCTCCCACCACACCTACTTCTCTAGTCAGCATTCTTCTGTTGTGTAATTCAGTGTAACAGCTCCCATTCACATAAAGATTTTGGGTAATATGCAGTTTGACAATTTTATCACTTATGTTAATTCCAATGTAATGGTATTATAGGAATCCCTCCCTTAAAAAGAATTGATGCAAAGCAGCAGTGGAATGTTAAAATTCATAATAAATAATTCACATATCACATTAAAAATTACAAGATAAAGGATTAAATTTGTTCTCCCTATGTTTTATAAATCTAATGTTTCTAGTCCCTCTACAATATGAGTAAGATTTTCATTTTAGGTGGAACATTAAAAGATTGTTTAGAGGCAATGAAAAGCAAAAACCACCATAGGAACATTACAAAATTAACGAATGCTTAACTTTTTCCATTATTTGTATTCAGACAAAAAACTCTAAGGAATTTTATCCAGATGTGGGGAATTGCAGCTCTCAGTTGTTACTCAGGAAGTTTTAAAGTCATGACTTCATTCTTCATTTTGAAATACTGATTGAAGCGAACAATTGCATACCTGTATGAGGAAATAAAAAGGTTAAATGAAGCCTTGCTTCCCTTTGTAAAATTTACTGTGACTCTCCTTGTAGAAGTACTGAGAAGGTAATTTTAGCTTTTCCTGCCATCTAGTGGTTTTCCAGTGTCTTTCACACACTTGAGAAACGTCAGACCAATTTAGTTGCGGTCTATGGGGAAAAGGGAGATTTTAATGCCACAACAGATGGACCAGTTATAGGTTGGTGGATTGAGGCTATTCATCCAGTCAAAGGTGAACTACCTCAGTAAGTCTGGCCCAGTTATACCTTGCCTTCTTCTTAGTAATGCCAAAATAGTAGAGCAGCTAATTTTAATAAGTGTATATAATTAGCGGTGTTGCAAACTTTCACAATGCAATCACCACCATGTTGACTTAGAGGCTGTGCCCACTGAGGTCGACAGGTCTTACTTCGTCATGAGCATCTCTCAGCATTTCAAACACTGCACCCACTTTCCCTCCTTGTCATCTTTACCACCCTGCAGAACAGGACTGGACAGATTTGACCCCCTAGATGCTTTGGCCTACAATTCCCATCAACCTTAACAGCTGTAGGCCAAATATGTGGAAGGACCACAAATGAACTACTGCCGCCACAGAAGGAGTCCATTGTTATCCTTCTACTGCAGACATGTCACTGACCAATTGAGACCACCTAGGAAATGGATGTCTGGAGCAAGAGTCCAAGCAGGTGCTTCCATATTGATAGCTCAGCTTTTCCTGAGAGTCAATTAATTTAGTTCAAATAAATAAATCATTCATTCATCCATCAAAACTGGCCTCTACTGGTTTGAATTTTGGCTATGTTGGGATTCTGTCACAGTGAATGAAAACGACTATATTCAGCATGGCTTGGGTTTCCTCAACAGCTATTGCTGACACATCAGTCTTTCAGGATCATGCCTAGCATAGTTCTACCAGTGTGCAGGACTCCTTACATAACACACGAAGCTGGAGACATGCCTTTATGCGAAGTAACCTCTCCACATGTAGACAGAGAGAAGTGTTCACACACATGCAGGTTGCAGTGTGAAAGTGAACAGATGCCATCGGAGACACCTGGCTAACAATCTCAAAATAGGAAAGTTTGTTTCAGTATATTCAACAGCAGGCGGTTACGTTTTAAAATGTCTATTTTAATCTTTGTGAGCACTTAACAGCTCTAAAGAATATTTTTAGCAAAAGAAGGTATTAATTTTAGAAACAGAACTATGGGAACTTCAAATTCTGGATTTTGCATCTCAAAACCAATAGTGTACCTGCACTTTGGGAACTCTTTAAAGTCATAATATCTGAAAGTCACAGACAGCACAAAGATCTATAGCCTTAGGCTACAATCCTATACACACTTGCCTTGGAGTAAATAAATACCAACGCACTTCTAAGAATACACATCTATTGCTGCACTGTTACTTACCCTAGAAAATCAAAGTCAATGGTGGAGTATTTGGCTTGAATCAAAGCCCACAATCCCCAGAAGAAATGAGAGGCCTGCAGAAAAACACACATTAGTGAAGTGCAACCAAAACATACATGTTCAGCATGTCATTAGTAGTACAATGACCAACTTGGTGTTCTGTAACAAAACAAGAATCCTAAATTGGATTTTACTGTATCTGAAGGTATGGTAATTTTAACCCAACAGGCCACTCTTGCATCCACCTCAGTGTAAGACCCCAGAAAGTCTCCAGAGCAGAAGTTCATAGAATCATCGAACAGCAAAGCTGGACAGGGCCAGGGGGGCCAGTGGATCCAAGTCCCTGCTCGTGCAGGGCTCCAGTTAACCCATCCCTCTCAGATGGCTGCCCGGCTGCATCTCGGATGCCTCCAGTGTGGGGGGAGCACACCACGTACCTCAGTCACTGGTTTTATTGTCATACTACTCTAACAGTTGGTACAGTCTCATATCCTGGAGTGCTACAATGGAGTTAAAGGCTTCTTCAGATGTTTGTGGTAAATGCCCACTAAAACAACAAGAGGAGTTACATTACGCAGGCTCCGTCAGCTCTATTGGCTCCATGTTCCAGGCCAGGCTTAATTCAAAGAGTTGTCTTTGACAAGCAAAATAAAATATTTAATTTGGGTTGTTAATTTATTTGGTTGTATCTGACTGTGTTATGAATGGTTTTATATAATTTTATCATGTGATGTGTTTTAACAATTCACTAATTTTATTGTTTATTTTACTGACTGGCTTCAGGAGTTGTAAGCTGTCCAGAGCACCCTCATGTTATGAACTGGCAAAGTAGAAGGAATGAATTATAGTAAAGAAAACAAAGAAAACATGATACTACGTAATGCAACCTTGGATACGTACTTCAATGCCATTCTCCCTCTCTATTTTATGCACTTCTGGGAAATTTAAACTTAAGACATACTGTTAATCTGTTACTCAGGTATTGCTAATAGCTTTGGTACTTTGGGAGTTTTCTTCTGAGGGGAAGAAGGGACTGTCCATGCCGCAACCAGCATTACATTTTCCTAGGAAAATCTTACTGGTGAGACAAATGACTTCCTGAAGCATGACAAAGTTTCAGGTTGTGGTAGTAGTGCTCAACTGTATGTCCCCAAATCAGTCAAAACAAGACCTCACCAACATCATCTCATCTTCACTATGGGGATGTATGTCTGTTTTCTCAGTCAGTTATAGGTATACTGAATATGGTTCCTCAGGTGAGGAGTGGGGAAGCCAGTGCCAGCTGCCCACAAGTACTGCTTGGGCATGCTGGGACAGCTGGCACCAGCAGGCATCTGGGAGCCCCACAGCAAATGCAAAAAGGGTACTTTGCCACTCTTGCCACAGGGCGAAAGCTTAAGTGTGGATGCAACAGTGCCCTATGCTTTTCCCATCCATTCTCAAGCCTCTTAAGTGCTCAGGAAAAGTGCAGCTCACACTATTTACACGAATGCTTCCTTTGACAGCTGTCAAACAGAAGGGTTTCTTTTTAAACAGGGTTTTTGACAAGCCTTTTTGGACTGGGATATATGCAACCATGAAATCAGAGAAACCTATTCAGAGTGCCATGTAATTTGAACTCGCTTCTATATTCTAGATTGTTTCTCTCTGCTCTCAAGCTACAGGCAAGATAGCAAGACCACCACTTTTCAAAGACCTGTGACAGTCACTAATGCAAAAAGTATGAAGAAGATTTATTTCCAGGTTCTTCAATACAACTTCCAATATGCAGGTATTGCCCAATATCTAGCATATGTTTTCTGTTAGCAAGAACATACTGGGGATGGGTATCTGAAGTATATACAAGCCAAACTTACCAGGGCAAACTGGTTGACTTGAACGTAAAGCACTTCAACCTCTTTCTCAGTGACATCTGTCTCAAATCCTTTATATTCCTTGTAGGCTTCCAGGTATGCTCTCAGCCACTGCTCCTGCAGTTTTCTGTTTGGGTAGAGGCTATAGTCCACCTCACTCACTCCTACAAGAAAGTTGTACTTTTTAAAAAGAAAGACATTTCCAGAAAATTTTGCAGTTTCTGCATTTTCATGTTACCCCTTGCTTGTTATCCAATACATTAACATAACAAGATGACAGTGAATCATCATACAAAACAGTGCCCCACCAGAGTATACAGACCTTAGGAAAAAACCAGGGCATGCTTATTCTTGTACACTACACTCAACTGTTTACTACTCTGAAGCATGCATATTTTTTTAAAAAAATCACTGAAAAATTACTCTTTTCATGTATTGGTGGTATAAACATAAGGGAAATAAGCTTGGGCAATCAGCATGAATATTTTTTATCAATGATTATGTCCCCAAGGATAGGATCATGATGGAGCGGGAGGGAAGCTACCAGCTGCTCACAAGACTGGGAGCCCCCTGGCAACTACAGCAAGAGTATTTGCCTCTCTTGCCACAGGGCTTAAGTTTTAAGTGTGAGCATGACAGTTCTCAATTCCTGAGGGGTAACAGGCTTTCTAAATCGTTTGTGCTCATACAGTTGTAGTTCAATGGAATATTCATCATATAATAAGAGTGTTGTCTACTCAGTATTGTCACTCTGATGTAAGTATGCAATGTGTGTTTTATTAGGGATGAAAAGCGTTTATGATTGCAACCAAATAAGGCTTTCCTTTTTAAACCTTTTATGAGATGAGACTAAATTAAGGGAGGCAATATTACTATTTTTATTATGAGGATGTATACTCTCTCATCATCACTCTTTTCCTGCTAGCTGATTTACTCATGTAACAGATCTTAATTCAGAGAAATTAAATACATGTACACTTACCTTTCATAAAATCTAGATAAGCATTTTGGCATGAATGGTGGAATCTGTTCAACTATTTAGCATTTTGTTTTTTTAAATGTTTTGGAATAGCACCAAATAAGAGTGCTATTTACTTTAATCTTTACTGCATGCCACAATGAAGGAAAATACTTTTTTTAAAAAATACACTGGGCTATAAAAATTGGTTTTCTATTAAGCACCCGAGACACTCTTTTATTCTCTCTCTCATTGGTTTTGGTAATACATCAGCAGATTTAATTTTGTGTAATTGGCTAAAAGGCAGATGATTAATCCACCAAAAACTCAAGTCGAGACCAGGAAAAAAGGAACTTGCTTTAGTGTGTACCATGGAGCAGGGATCACAGATTACTGAAGCTTCCTACTGTACACACCTTTGCAGAACATTATGGTGCTGATGCGATTTTCCTACACTGAAACATGACCCATGTATGCAACCTTCTTACGTGGCACAGCCATAAAAGGAAATAAAAAGAAAGTATAAATCTGTATGAATTATGTCCTAAGTTCAGATCTTTAACCAAACCATAGTATGGTGGGAGTAAAAACCTCCTCCCAGACTGCTGGTTCTTATTTTGCCATTGAACACTGCTTTTGGAACAATCTAGCATGCATCCACAGGGGAAAGATGTAGATTACAAGAGCAGAGAGAAGCACAGAGGGCTAAACTCTGTATCCAAGGGCACGTCTTGTTCGCATACTTCCTCAGCATGGTGTTATCTGGACAGTCCTGCATTTAACACCACACACAACAACCCTCCAACTTTTCACAGAGAAGGATCCAATTTGTATGTTTAAACCACAATGGAGTTCTTCCCTGCCCACCTCAGAGTTTTCACTGAGGGGTGCAAGCAGCAAGCAAATCCAGGGATAATTTCAGAGCGCAATGGGTGGAGAAGGGTAAAAGGGAGGTAAGCTTGCATCAGGCCCACATTGACCCAAGTGTCAGCAAGACAATACATACTAATTGGCTATAGCAAAACCGCATTACTAAACTACCTGCAAACTCATTGAAGTGGTTCCCAATGTCATAAGCCAGGTAGTTGTATCCAGAGTACTCGTAGTCAATGAACTGAACATTACCTACACGAGACACAAAAAATAAAATTCGTAAGAGTAAGTATGCAAAATACTCAGACACGTCACTGTGCCTTTTAACACATGCCACTGCGGTTCCAGCCTGTTGTGCTCAGTTGCATGCATTTAAGACATTCCAGGACAAGGATTCTGTGACTTGTTCATTCTAGCAAGCAGAATGCTTCTTTATTAAAGACATATGCTCTTAATTATCTGAACAGTTAAATCTAAGCATCATATTTGCTTTCATACCGCAAGGGGCATCAGTTATCTGAGACTCACTTGGCCTCTTAATATATAAATGCTTATCTGACCAGCTACAACCCTTATCTACTTTTCTTAAGGCTATAGCAGTTGTTTTGCATGAACCAATATGTGTCTTGGGCCTTTGATTATTTTTCTAGTCTTTGGTTACTTTGCACAGGACTGTACTCTACTATAAAAAGTTTTTACCTGGCTTATATTGTGGCACATATTCTCCCAGGCAAACATTTCTCCAATATCAGAACAAAAAAAAGCTGCATAATGCATTATAACAAACATTCAGGCAAATTACGAAATCTTCCAATTAACCTTTCCTCAGACATTTTAGTGGTTCTTAGATTTTTAACTAAAAACCAGAGGAAACCAATACTTTCAATTTTTGAAAGTCTCAACTGTCTTCTTTCCTAAGACACTTGAGGCTACTCATATGAACAATCGTGGGAAAATTTTGTGGTGCTGCGATAGTAAATAGTACTTTATTTAAACATGGTGCAGTGTGAGCTTAAGAATTACATTTCCCCACTGCTATATAACATCTTGCCAGCGATCCTTGTGTATACCACAAAATGTAATGGGCTCTAATATGGTTTTTCAAGAAAAAACTGGGAATTGGAATTCTGTGAGAGGCCAGGGATCTCTAGCGGCTTTCTGCACTCTCACTGCATCTAGTTTCCCAGGATTCTTTGAGCAAATGTGGCAAGGTAGCTGACAAAGCCAACCTAAGTCTGAAGCATAGGCATGCACTCTCAACCCTGAAAGCGAGTCTCTGGAATCCGTTTAGAACTTTTTAACTTTCTTTAAGTTCTACAGAAACTTCCAAACCAATGTTGCTACAGCAAGCCAGAGAGTAATTTATACCCTACAGGCAAGTTATGAAATCAACTCTCGTAGCCTCTAAATGACAGCTGTTTCCTAAACCACTCAGTTCATCTTATCTACCAGTAAAGATGCAACTATTTCTTAATTATCGCTTTGTCATACAGTGGAGCTAACATTTAAGAGAAGCCCGTTTCTATCTTTAGCCAAATGTTTGCATTTAAAACACAATAAAATGGCAGGTAAAAGGCCTGCATGTACAACGTATTAGGCAGTTATCTAAAATAAACATTCTTTTGCACTCAAGTTATACTTAGCGATACATGACTGCAGTGCCGTTATCACCAGCAGCTAGCTCTCGATCTTATTCAAATGCTAATTTCCAGTTATAATTAACAGTATTACAAAATTAAAAAAAAATGAAGCTAAGATACAGATGAGGCTGTTACCAGGCTCCGTGCTCTCCTAGGAGGGAGGTGCATGCGAACAAGTGATGCGATAAACCTCCAGTCAGTGCCTTTAAGTAGCACGGTGCACGCCGCCACTTGGCAGCAACAAGGACATACCTAATCTGTAGCAGATGAAGAAAATTTGGCAAACTCATATTTGATAAGACACAAAACTTTAAAGAGAAAAGTTCTGCATTTCACTGCCCTTCCTTTTCCAGAATGGCATTGCAGTGGAACTCAGCCTTAAGTTTAAGTTTTGCGAGAGAGAGAACGGTTCCAAGATGCACAGCTCCCTTTGGTTTTGGACTTCAAGGAAACATGTCTGCAGGCAAGGCATAGTTTTATCAGTTTCTGCACCCATTTTCAGTTATGCTGAAGAGAAGCGCCCCATTACGAAATATAATTGTATGGCAGAATGAGTAGCTTGCATGAACTAAAAGGGGATTTGTACTTGAGTCCAGGAGGTTGTAAATGCCTCCTCGAGAAAGGAAATGGGTCCAGCCTCTTTGAGAGAGGCTGTATGAAGCCACTCCTAAAAAGGCCTAATCTGGACCCATAGGATGGTAACAATTATAGGTCAGTGGCCAACATCCCTTTCCTGGGCAAGGTACTTGAGAGGGTGGTAGCTGAACAACTCCAGGCACTCTTGGATGACACAGGTTCAGTCAGGCACGGTTTTGGAAGGGAAACCGCCCTGGTCACCCTGAGAAAGACAGGGGGAGTGCAACCCTACTGATTCTCCAGGACCTCACAGAGACTTCTGATAGCATGGACCATGGCATCCTTTTGGATAGGCTGGCTGGGCTAGGAGGATGCAGCACTGCACTGGTTCTGCTACTACTGGACCGATCGATTCCAGAAGGTGGTGCCGAGGGATTACTGTTCTGTGGCATGGCAGTTATGCCAGAGAGTACCACTGGGGGAGGTTATCTAGAGGTATCAGCTAAGGTGTCACCAATGCATGGATGACATTCAGCTCTACCGCTCTTTTTTATCAGACCAAGGTGACACAAGGACCGCTCTGAATCAGTGCCTGAGCATGGCAATGGACTGGATAAGGGCCAACAACCTGATACTCAGCCCAAGCAAGCTGGAGGTGCTCCTGGATCCAGAACTGTCACTTTAGACACAAGTAGACTCAGTAGCATGGAGCACCTTTTATCAGCTTAAGCTGATATACCAATCATAACACTACCCGGATAGAGAGAGCCGAGCAACAGTTATCCATGCTCTGCTAACCTCTCCTTTGGGTTACTGCAATGCACTTTGAAAATGATGCAGAGACTTCAGCTGATTCAGGGCAGCAAAATTGTTAATGGGGACTGGATTACAGGAACATATTTCGCCACTCCTCCGCCAGCTGCATTGACTGCCAGTTGAAGTTTGGGCCTGAGTCAAAATCCTGAAGGAGTATCTCTTCCCGTATGTACCTACTCAGACCCTGAGGTCAACTTTGGGGGTCCTTCTCCGAGAGTGCCCTCCAAAGAAAGCAAGGAGGGTGGCTACCAGGAGAAGGACTTTTTCACCTATGGAACCGCAGCTATGGAATGAACTCACCAAAGAGGTGTGCCTGGTGCCTATTCCGTATTCTTTTCAGTGCCAGGTGAAGACCTTTTTATTTTCCTAGTATTTAAACAATTAACTTTTTAACTTTAGTTTTAGTATTGCATTTTATCCTATACCACTACCATACCTCTGTGCTGATTCAGTTACAATTACTGTGGTTTTATTGTCTAATGTACTTTTTTCTTTGTTTGTATGTTTCAAACTTTTGTTAACAGCCCAGACAGCCTAAGCAACTGGGTAGTATAAAAATGAAATAGTGAATGAATAAATAAGGGTTAGTTCATATAGGGTTGTCATTTTTTCCTACAAAGCTTGGTTCCCCAAGTCCCCTGGAGAACTGATATCCAATATATTCTTTAAAACTAGTTATCTTTTATTAAAAGAGGGCCGTTTTGAAAATCCTAACCAAAAAATGCCATTTATTGATGTCCACTGTGCATCCAACATTGTATTCATTGCAATGTGGGCAACTAGTATGCAGAGTGAAGGGCTGCAAGAGGAGACAGAATCAAGTGGAAGCAGCTTGCACAAGCTCTTCCTTACTGCAGCTCTCCACCCAACATGCTAGAAACCAACCTTTCCCAACCCTGTAACTTCCAGACACATCTGGAATGCAACATCCAGAATTCCTAGTCAATGGTCCTGCTGCATGGAAATTCTGAGAGTTGAGGTCCAATATCTCCGAAGGTCACCAGGTTGGGGAGGCTATCCTAGACTGTTCCCGAGAGTCCCTTGAGCACAACTGACAGGACTAAAGGGGGAGGGGGAGGCAGTTCCCTTTGCGTTCAACACTGCATTTGATACAACCAATGTTTTCAAGGCCAACTCAGCTTAACTGTTCCATCAACAACTGTAGCTTTTCAGTGATGGAGGGCTTGTTAGGAAGGGAGAGCTATGAGGAAAGAAAAGCAAGAGAGAGAATGTACACTGAGTACTATATTAAATGCATTTAGATTTGCAGTCAATACAAAGAATAATGCGGCAATACCGTACAGAATAATGCAGTACTAATGCCATTCTGCAAGGAGTTTCGTCAGAATCAATAAGCTATTATCAAAGAAGTATTATGCAAGGTAATAAAACTTTAGTATTTAATATCCGGAATAGCAGTAAACTGAATTAGGTAAAGCTGCAAGTGGAAGCTTCAGCTGGCACTGTGTAAGTCCACTGCCAAGTTTCAAGCATCTATTAAACTACAATTTCTGTGAAATTATACTTGAGTGTATGTGTTGGAAGAATTCATTTTTGAAGCCCAATTTTGTGTGATCTGCTGTGAACAGAGTAATGTAGTAGCAGCTATATGGAAGTTTCTTTTCCTGTTTATACAAAATTGAAAACTGCCTGATATTAAGGTATTTTCCTTACATAAGCATATTCAGACTATCTACTGCTCCAAAAGCAAAATAATAGACACTGTAGGAAGTTATTTTGCACTACACTGCTTCCATTGGTGGGGATGGGAGTAGATGCTGTTTCCTCTTTGGATTCCGTAATTGACGCATACAACTCAGGAGTCCACAAAATAAATGTGCTTTACTTTGGTTAGAGTAAATAACTAAAGGTTTAATAAGGCAGGGATCAGTCTACATGATGGTACTTCTCAATGTCAGAACTGGCAACACCTTGCACTGAGGATGAGCCACGTTAGCAGATGTGCCAGATAATTCAGTTCCTGTTATAATAATTCAATTCCTTATGGTGCAGCTCCTTGGATGAAGGCAATTGCCTTGATTCCTCATCTCTGGAAAACCCTTTTAAGAGAAATAACCATGCAAAAAAGAAAGTTTCTGGATGTTCCTCACATGTCTGCTCAGCCTGCCATGCCCTCTTTCACCGTAATGAATTCTCCTCAGGCTTCCAGCCCCAGGGGAACTCTTTTCCCTGCAGGGAGTGCTTGGCTTATCCATCCCATCTATGCCTCTCTTCTGGGTATCCCTCCTGTTCTCAAAGAGCCAAGCTCCCATGCCTATCTCTCTCCTTTCCAGCTGCCATAATCTGCCTTCAGCCCCTGTATCTCTACTTTTTCCTTTTTCTCCAGCTGCTTACCGGTGCCCACAGGCTACCGCTCCACCAGCTGGTTGGGGCCTCTTCACCTTATTTCTGTAAGTGCAGCCAAATAATTTCCAAGTTCCTACTCAGCACTGTTGATTTTCAACAAAGCCTCTGCTAGCGGCCACCAATCCATGAGTGGTTCCTTGTCCATAACAAGGCAGGAAGCAGCACAAGGCAAGACCTCACATTGGCAGCATAGTCCTTTTAAAATAGTCTATAAATTGACCACTATGATTTAGGGTTAAATGTTTCTTAACATTTGCTACCTGAACAGTGTTAAGTAGTATGCTGGTAGCAGAAACCAGAAGACAGAATGGTTTGAATTCTAAGAAACACCAAAGTAAACACAGATGAAATTAAAAGAATTTAAAATTCAAAGTTAATTTTGTACTTCTAAATTTTTAATCAACAGTGTTAATTTTAATGACATTGTCTTACTGAATTAGGGGAAAAATACTTCTCTGTTCAGGGGCAACACTGAAACAAGCTCTAGGTTTGTGTACCTCCACCTCCCATCTCCTCCTCTGACATACCAGGAAGTAGAAAACTTGAACTGTTAATACTCTTTATACCAGCCATACTTTGTCCAGCTTTAGATAAAACAACCTGCTAGCTGAAAATGGAAGAATGGAATGGAACAGCTCTGGGATGGGGACCAGACTTGCACATATAATGTTAAATGATGATTAAGCATTAGGGTCCTAACCAGTTCATTTGAAGGAGAAAGTGGAATCTCGGGGAGATGACAACCATGTAGATACAAGGATTCTTAACATACAAAGTAAGCAATCACTGTTTCATACCAAGAGAGATTTGTTGTAGCATTGTAGTGCAAAGCCACACTGACAAATCATGGGCTTTAAGAGTGGTTTCCAGTTGGACAAAGTTAATAAAAACATGTGCCTCCAAGCTAATAGCCTGGATCCAAAGATAAGGTTTAAAAAAACTCTTATGGAAAATCATGGAAGGGAAGTTTTCTATCCCCCTCTTCCCCCACAGCCATCTGTGGCCTTCAAAAAGCCTCTCTGAAAGGTAAAGGGACACTCCTGAACAGAGTGGCATGCAGGGAACAACTACAGCAATGGGAGGAGAGAGGAAGCATTCCTTATGAACAAGACAATGCTTAAGAATGGCAGAAAATTTAATGTTTAAAGAAAATAGAGCCCATTTTACAGCTTTGCTGTGGATGTAAAGTAAAAGGTAGATGATATAATTTGGTTCTTTTGAATATTTATTTTTATTTAGTAAACTTCTATGCCACCCCATTCGCTGAAGCCTCAGGGTGGCTTACAACAATAAATGAATACATATAATCATATAAAATTAGGCTTAATTTACCACTGCAAAATTGTATGCAACTTGTCTGGAATCCAAGGTTGCAAAATTAAAGTTGCAATCCTAAACACTTTATGAGAGAGTAAGCCAGAGGGGCTTACTTCCAAATGAACATAAGATTGCACTGTGAGAAAGAACACATTAGAACATGTTAAGAACTAGTGTCTTAACAAAAGAAAATGAATACAACATAAGCATGGCTAATCATCTAATAAAGCCAGAGTACAAGGCACTATGATTACGTGAAGTTTCTTTAAGTTATGTAGCATTTAGTACAACTGATTTATTAATGAACTCTTCCTTTAAAGCATGTAAATGTTTCCAAGCAGAGACAAGAGAAAGAGGTAATTATATTTAGTTTAAAACATTTCAACCTTGCCTTTTCTCTCAGGAGTTCCAGTTAGAAGATAAAACTGACATCAAGCAATACCCACAAGCAAGTATTATGATCTAAACAGGAACTAGCCTAAGTGAATCAAGTACTACAACAGACCTTCACTGCCAGAGGCCAACTTTCAACAGAAATACAGTTAAGAGGGTAACTGACAAAATGGCATATTAGTTAGGGTCATGTTTCCAAGGAATAAAAAGTGAAAAGATACTAAAAAGGGAAGAGCACAGAGAACAAACTGCATCTTTGAACTGTGTTATTCAAGTAACGTGCAAAACATGTTTAGCATGCAGGCATTTTCACTGCATTCTTTAAGAATTTGTGTTCCACTTCACAACCAACTTAAGTTAAAGCTGAGTTTCCACTGCAAAAGTAAATTGTTCCTCTTAATATTATGTATCAGTTTCATAAACATTGTTTCCCAGTACAATACAATACACAGCTTTAGTAGTTTATACATGCCATACTTACTCCAAGATTAAAACAATGCTCAACATTTCAGCATTGCAGAGGGACTTAAACACTGCTTGGGCTAGTTCACAAGACCTCTTAAGCTGGAGTTAGCAAATAATAGTCACACTATCATTTGGTAACAACCATTAGATGGGAAATGGTCACTTGAGATCTGCCCTTACTGTTCATGAGTTGTGCAGCAATATTCCAAAACTGCACCTTTAATAGATACAATCTAGCTACTACATACACTTAGTACTTCCCCCCACCTTTAAAAAGTTGCAAGCAAATTTTTCATAGAGAATTCTCCCTCTCCCCCTCCCTGTTCCCAAATGCTAAACACTCACACACTGGTTTTTGTAGAAATGCTCTTAAATGATGTAGTGCTCTCAATCATTTATTCTCCACTCTGTTTATAAAAGAAAATGACAGCAGATTTGTTTCAAAAGTGGGAAGGTCAAGCCTACAACTGTTGACAATGTTCAAAGCTGAACTTTTGTCTTGGCACTCAGTTAAAAAAAAAAGTTCCATCATGAGAAACATTGAGAAGTCACTTTCCTCAGATCTGATCAAAATTCTTATTTACTTCTTTCTCCCCAAACTTATCTTTAGACTTCCAAGTCAAATCTAAGGAGTGTGATCTAGACAGATTCCCAAATGGTCTCATGACTCATCAGTAGGTCAGACAATCTTCGTGGCAGTAGATACTGCAAGGAGAACTAGAAGGTGTTAAGCTCTAAAACCTCACAGAGAAGAACCATAATGCTACCGGTGCACCCTTTATAAAAAGCTTTAGAAGCAATTTGATTAGAATGAAATGGTTGTAAAACAATTCAGAGCTTTAAACTGTATAGAACAGATTTAATGGTATGACAAGCATAAAATGGCGTTGTTTTTGACAAGCATAAAATGGAGTTGTTTTTGCAAAACCGGCTAAGTTTAACGAATATTTACCACAATGAAGTAAGTAATATTATTTGGGCTAGGAAAATCCCAGGCAGATAATCTCAGGAATTTCAAACACTTGTCTAATTCAGTGACTTGTTTTATCAGCAATGGGGAACTGCTCATTATTAGAATTTTAAAGTATTTTGCTCCTACTCCTCAGTCAAAAAGGATCTCAAGGCAGCCTATGTTTAACCAGTTAAAGAAGACAACTGTTGCACATCATATCCCCTCCTGCCAAAAGCTCTACCTGAATATGTTGCCTTCACTACAAATAATTTATTTGGGGCACGTCTCATCTATTTTTACCTCAGATCAAGCGAGCACCAATTTCAAGGCACAACATTCTTTGAAAAACGTCTTTCATCCCTCTCCAGTTCCTACATGTTACCTTCTCTTCAATAGGAACATCCCAATTTGATTCAACTCAGACAAGGGTCTGATGCAAAGGTAATGCTAGTTCCTGGCAAGCCATGATTTGCAAATCAGAAACCAACCTTAGGAATCTACATTCCCTCCCTTCTCCTCCAGTGTATTTTCTTTTCCTTTCTAGATATCAAGCATGGTTTGCACAATATTCTTTTCTAAACTTCGTCTGCAAACTTCAAACCAGGCTTTCTGTCTTTGTTGAAAAAGGGGACAACTTTTTTAAAGGCTGCATGTGCAGCAGAAAAATATAAGGAACAAATGGAAGAGAAGGCAGGAAGCATGCAGCCCCCAAGGCTGGCTTTGAACTTGTCCTAGTAGAGCATTTATTAACTAAACTGTATCACCAACCCAAGATCATCACTAAGTGTCAGAACTTTTTGTAAGGTATAGATGATTCCGTTTTTAGAAAACATACATTCTTTTCAAAAGTTCAATTACAGGTGACATTGACAGGGAAGATAAATCCGATTAGTCAGTGTCCAGAAAACCTCACCTCAAACATAATTAGAAACCAATCTTCAACTTTAAAAATACCTATGTACCTCATCAGCAGGTATAAACAGAGCCTTGGAAAGTATCTTTCCAGATACTTCACCATGTAGAATTCCTCGGTGTCATCAATATATCTGACAAATCAGAATACAAAGATAATACACAGTAACCTGGAGACATTTGCTCCCAAGGCTGTTGGAAACAATAAGTTTGAATCAAGGATAGTTAAGACAACAGTTCACCTTGAAATTTCTGCAGACAACATGGTACAAATAATAGATTGCTACAGAGTGGAGGAGATTATTCTTTTCTGTAACCCCTTACGTATTAAGCTAGTAGTTACAGCTATTAAAAAAGTATTTCTACACAACTACTTCAATGACATTGAATATATCAAGCAACAAATGGCAAATAGTTATGTATAGTCAAATGTTATTTAAAACAGCATTCAGTTGTAATTATCCACCCCCACCCCCAAGCTTTTACTGTGTACTACAAATACAAAACATTACAAAACAATCCTTAAGGGTTACTTACAGCTGTGTTCAATACCTACCTTGTTTTCCATTGTAGATTATATTTTTACACAACAGATCATTGTGACAAAGTACCACTGGAGAGCACAGATTGGATAGCCTCTCCTTCATCCATGCCATCTCTTCTTGAAGTACTTGAGGACTTGGGATATCCATCAGAAACCTTTCAAGTTTGAAAACAAAGAAATGTTTCTACACACACAGAATGAGCAAGGACCTATTTTTCATACTTGATATAGAAACATGGTTTCCTTCATTCTTTTGTTTTTCAGCTGCGCTATTCATTAAGCTGCTTTACACAGTATGTTAAATCTCTTTAAGCTACATGGAGTTCTGTTCTACATTTCTAAGCTGAAGACAGATGATCACTCAATTTATCCTTACCTCTGGGCATATTTCCCCATGCTAAATTCATGAGCTTTGGAACAACAGTCATGGAAATAGACACCTACCTTTTGTGTAACTCCTGATCTGCAAATTCTGTTGGTATGAGAGAGAAGTATTTCCCCATCTTCAGCCACAGGTTAGACTTGGGGATCCATCCATTGTGCGCATGAATAGCATGTATTTTAGCAAGTTGTCTGGCTATGAGCCTGCAATAATTTGAATTATCATCAAAAAGAGTTCACTATAATTAGAAGCATATTGTCTTCCCCTCTTTTACTTGTTCTTGCTGTCAATTTCCCTACAAGGAAAACCTTACAATGTTTGGTTCTGTTTAAGTTAGCAAAATAATGTGTGGTATGGAGAAAGTGGATGAACAGAAGTTCTTTTCCTATTCATAACTGGAGCCACTGAATGAAGCGAATGGGGGAAGATTCATGCCAGACAAGTGAAAGCTGTAGAATCCACTGCCATTAGTAATACAGTAGCACCATGGAAGCTACTATCATTGAAAGATAAATTTCTCCCAAAACAGTGTGAAAAGCTGTAACACTGCTGAACACCTGCATAACCCACAAAGTAAGATGGGCTCAACTGCACTGCAGCATGAAACATCAGAAGATGTTATTGTTGTCCATGCAGACTTTAATGTATCTTATGTCACTTTTGAAAAAAGGGTGGTGGCACCACAGATACTCCGGGCAAGTTCCAAGCACATGGGAGGGGAAGTTTTTAACAGGTTTTTCTCTAGCAAATACTCTCAGAACGGTTTTCAGAACCACTCTCAGAATTGTTTATTAATAGAGTCAGGAGAGCTTTGGGTCCCCAGTGATGATCAAGATAGAGGAGCAAGAATGCTGGAAGACTGATTTGGCTGGGATGGGAATGTCCATGCAGAGCTTTCAAGACAAGGCCAGCGCAATTGTGCCAAAGGCAGAGGTAATGTTAAACTAGCAGAGAAAGTTGAAAAGGGTGTCAAATGTTCTGAAGAGAGAGAAATGCAGCAGAATTTGTATACTGGAATAACAAAGTAATGCCAAAGAAAAGGAAGTTATGATATTAAAAAGGGGAAGATATGTCCAGGGCATTAGCCAGTATTTCATTCAAGGGAGACAAGAGGAATGAATGGGTTGCAATTTTTTTGCAATTTACAAAGCACAGCACAGTCATGTAGTTACCAGTACACATGAGCTCCTTAGAGGACATAAGCATTTCAGACTTACCGAAATATCTCTGGATTGCAAACATGTTCCGGATCCAGTGCTTCTCCTTGCATGAACTCATAGCACAGACCATTACTGAAGGTACAGTAAAGCTGTGGTGCACAGCCATGGGCCTGCAGCACACGGAAACTCTTCACTTCTTCTTCTCGATCGACTAACAATTCAGTTTTATTTCCATAAATTCTGACAAGGACAACATCATCCATCTCTTCCCCCACGTAACAGCCAATAAGCTTATTGGTGATCCCATCTGTAAATACCTGTAAAGAGAAAGTAATGCAGATTTCTAGTTTGAAGTATTCATATATTAATACTTCTATCAGTTCAAGTACTGAAGGCAGTTGGTAATAACTAAATGAATGGGTTGGAAATAGAGGTATCCTTGCTTCTGTTAGTCCTTCTGTTAGCTCAAGGCCCTTCAGCCCAACAGCAGATTCCGTAGTTGGACAAGATGGGTGGGGAAGGAGGCAGCAGCTTGTTTCCTCTTCTCCACTGCAGCCTCTTATAACACTATCACTGCTATTTGAGAGAACTCTCCAAGTAATTAAAGCTGATGTTGGAGGGGACAGGGAACAACAAATGAAAACTGCCTTCCGCTGCTACTGCAAATGGGACCCTGCTGGACTGAGGAGTCTATGAATAGAAGGCTTATTTGGATCCAACCTCTCTTCATAAAGTCCAGTACAATATAGGGAGACGGAGGTCCTGTTGGTTGGCGGATCGGGCTTCAGGGAAGGGGACCTTGACCTAGTCCTGAATGGGGTTGCACTCCCTCTTAGGGACAAGGTCTGCAGCTTGGGAGTGCTCCTCGACCCAGAGCTTTCACTGGAAGCTCAGGTGACAGTGGTGGCAAGGAGTGCTTTCTTTCAGCTTCAGCTGGTCCATCAGCCGCGTCCCTACCTGGAGAACGACTGCCTGATGACAGTGATACACGCGTTGGTGACTTCCCGACTTGACTTCTGTAATGCACTCTACGTGGGGCTGCCCTTGAAGACGGTCCGGATACTTCAATTGGTTCAAAATAGAGCTGCCAAGCTGCTGACGGGGACTGGGCATTATGTTCACATGACTCCAGTTCTCCGTCAGCTTCACTGGCTCCCCACTGAAGTCTGGGCCCAATTCAAGGTGTTGGTTATGACCTATAAACCCCTTAATGGCTTGGGTCCTGGTTACTGAAAGGAGCGCTTACGTCCATATGTGCCCGCCCGCCCCTTGAGATCAGCGGGAGAGGCCCTTCTCCAGGAACCTCCGTGAAGGATATTAGAAGGGTAAGTACCCGGAGGAGGGCTTTCTCTGCAGTGGTGCCCAATCTATGGAATGCGCTCCCCAGAGAGGTCCACCTGGCACTGCCGTCATTTGTTTTTCGGAGCCAGGCGAAGACCTTTTTATTTAAATGTCATTTTAATTGCTAATATTATTTATTTTACATCTTTGGCCAGGACATCTCCAATTATATTGTTTTTATATTGTTATTATTTATTGTTGTGAGCCACCCCGAGGCTTCGGCGAATGGGGCGGCATAGCAGCTTTCTAAATAAAATTAAAAAAAAAATTACTTCTGCAAGTACCAGTAACAGCAATAATATTCAGTTAAGGAAAGTCCATTAGATGATCAAACACACCCAAATATATCGAATAGCTTTTAGCTGGTGAGAAAAAATACAAACCAAAATTACCTCAGTTTTATCTGGACTGAGGATTACTGCCCCTACCAAATTCTGATACCTATGTATTACATTTATATTCCACCAAACTAGCAAACACCCTTGGACATACAGCCTCATTTATGTCAGATAAAAAGCAACAGAGCTGGGTACGCCATCACCATACTAATCATACCTCACTCCAAATGCCCAGCCAGATTTTCTATTTCAGTGGTTACACACTGAAATAAATGGCTGCTAGGAAGAGGACCTTTACTGCAGCTGCTCCCCATATTTGGAATGCTTTCCCCAAGGAGATTCACCTGGCACCTTCCTTATACTTTTTGGTGCCAGGCAAAGACCTTCCTTTTCAAAAAATATTTTAATTAGTTGATGCCACTAAACCTTTGTTTTGTATTTTTATCTGTATTTTATTAGTACTGTATTTTTTAATTGTTGTAATTAGTTTTTTTATTGTGTTTATATCTTATGATTCTGAGCTGTCCAGAGGTGCTGTGGCATAATAGGGGACATACAAGTGTCTTAAATTTATAACATAACCCAGCATGATGAATCCTGCAGTAAGCTAACATCCATGGATGGAGCAGCAATCTCCCAGACTGAATTCCCAAAATCAACTTTTCAGGCAGAAAAAAAAATAGCAGAGAGCAAGATGTTTGCAATTCCCTCACAGTCCACAGGTCAAGGCTTTTTGAAGTGCACCAAAAGAATTTCAAATGAAAATCTATGTATGCGCCATAACCCACAGCACA